GCCGCTGCATGCACCTCCCTGGCAGTGGGCGGCGCCATTACCCCCCCCGCGCCGTCTCCTTCAGCCGCTGCCTCCGCCGCTCTGTCCTCAAAGTCGCTCTCGTGCCACCCCCGCAGTTCCTCCTGCTGCTGTGCGAGCAGTTGCGCCTTCTCTGAGTCGGCCATGGGGAGTGCGCGTAGCGGCGGTGGCACCACCCCGACCGCGGCGGCGGCGGCGGCGGTGTCGGCGGCGGCGTCGGCGGTAGCCGCCGCCGGGGTGTCCAAAGCAGGTGCGCCTCCGGCCCTCTCCCTCGCCTTCGCCGAAGTTACGTACCCCACGGTGATGAGCTCCGGCGGCGTGCGCGAACGGCGCCCCGGCGAGGCGGTCTTCCCCTTCACCTGTGGCAGCTGCGGGAAATCGCCCTCCTGAAGCTGGAAACCGGCGGTGGCTGCAGCGGTCACGCGGGGGGAGTTGGCCCCCGATGCAGTAGCAGGGGCGGCCGGCACTATGTTCCCCTCGGCCGCCGGCAGGGTGTGGGCAGGAGCGGGCGCGCTGGAGAGCGCCTGCATGTATTTAACTTGTTTGCGGTGCACAGCCGGCGCTGTGCTCGCCTCCGCCCTCAGGAGCGCCCCACCTTGCTTCGCCTCCTCCGCTGAAGCCGTGGACGCCTCACAGGCCGCAGCCGCTGCGGCAAGCTCCCGTTCCATGGCTGCCACCGCAGCCGCCATCTGCCGCCGCTGTTGTTGGAGGGCCGTCAGCTTGTCGGCGTCGGCGGTGACTCGTTTCTGAAGGTTGTAGTCCGTCGCGCGTGCCTCCCGGTCCACCGCCGCGTAGGCCTCCTCCGCACAGAGAAGCTCGGCGTAGGCTTCGGCGACCGATGACGGGGAGTGTGCTCGCACGTGGGCCTCGAGGTGGCGATTCTCAGCTTCGGCGGACGCCAGGTCGTTGGTGACGGAGACGTCACTGGTCACCGTTGAAGGCCCAGAGAGGAGTGCTCCCACGGTCGGTGGGAAGGCCGTGGCGTCAGCAGCAGCCGCCTCGGCTTGGGTAGACACGGCCCCGTCTGCGCCAGACTGGTCCGACTGTCCACGCGCGGGAGGGGCGGCGGCGATGGCGTCCAGCAGGTTGCCGAAGCCAAGTCCGCGGATGACCTCGGTGATGCGGTACACCTGTTCCGCCTCTGTAAGAACAGGCGCAGTCGCAGCATTCGATGAAGCTGCAAGGAGATCCGGCGCGTAGGTGACGGCGCCGGGAGAAGCCGACGAGCCAGGCATTGCCCCAGCAGAGGTGGAGGGAGGAGCGAGAGAGTGGGGGGCGGAAGGAGGAACTACAAGAGCAGGCTGCACGCTACCAGCTATGCGCGGGCTACGGCGTACAGAAACACCCTTAGACGCATCTTTCTCTTCAGGGACCCCGGTATCACGCTTACGGTTCGACAGGATCAACTCAAACAAACTCGGCAGCTTCGCCAACTGTGATATAAGCTTTTAGCTGGGTTTGCGTTCTGATGTGGAGCACTGCGAACCAATCACAAGTGAGGTGTGGTTCTACTAGCAAAGGTGGTTCTGCTAGTACTTGGGGTCCAAAGGATGTTTGGTCAATACTGTCAATGCTCGTGGTGTGGTCACGGGTCTCTGATGTGCACAAGAGGTAGAGTCGAATGTGGTCTCTTTTAGTCAGCCTGAAGGTGAAGTCCTGATCAGCAAGAACACCTACTGTAACTCAATCGCTAATCAATCCAATCTCACGAGGCTGTCCAATGCTATGCCAAGGCGTCACACTCAACACAACGCTATGGGGATGGCACTCACGCTCACCTAAACCCTAGTCGAAGCTATGCCAAGCGGCTTCTGATCAAAGGGGGTGGCTGTAGGAGAACTGAAAGCNGTGTGTTGGTATGTCCGTACTTGGGAGGAGAAGACACGCTTTAACTCTCTCTGATTAGGCACCCGCGGGAGCGAGGAAAGGAAGGGAAGAAGAGGCCCTCCCGCATTGGGGAAGGGGGCCCACACATAGTAGCCTTTATCAGGCATACGCATGCTCCTGTCTACGTACCCCCCCGTGCTGCTATTATAATAGCAGATCTACCATGCTCGTATCCAGACACACGAACACCCTCCCCGGTTCGTCAAGCTATTGACAAACC